AAAAAGATGGATGGCCAAACACATCCGTGCAAAAGAGAGGCTATGCAGGAGAAAATACCACCACTCTGAATGTTTCCAAGCCCCGGGTGGGGATCAGGGGTAAACTGGCATGGAGAGTTCCTCCATTATGACAAGACAAGGACATCTCCCCCTGTATATACTCAAAGAGTTAAGACAAAAACCAAAAGGATTGATGACAATCTGATAGCTTGGTCTTAAGCTGGTGCCTAGAGACGAACTAGAGGCATTCCCTCGGACACAATCTTATACTTCATTACCAGAGCCACTGGATCAGATTTCTCTATTAATTTCTTCCCAAATACAAGCTTTCCTACTTCATTGAGCATATATTCTTTTCCCTCATGATGCCAAATGCCATGCACATGCTTGAACACAACTATCAAAGCTCCACTAGCTACTGAGGAACAAGTAAGTTAGTTCCATCTTTTAGCTTTGTCATTGCTGTGTCTTCAACCTCTCAATCAATCTCTAAATAAATCTCACGTTCTTGAATCCCCATCTCTCTCTGCCTATACTACATACCTGCTCTCTGGCCTTTAGATAACCCAGAGCCATCACAGTCCCTGTACTCTGTGAAGTTAAAACACTCAGAATGCACAGCAAAGCAAAGCAGAACACAACTGTGGTAGTATTTAATATTATTTTAATATGTTGTATTCTTTTTGGCCACCCTTTTCGGGGTTTATATTTTGTTGGCCCTGCACTAACATATATTTACTTGATGCCGCAAGAAAGACTTCTAATTATACAGATAAGACTCCTAGAGGCTTGTTTACTACCACTTTCTGCCCTTTCTGACTCCTGCACGACTAAGGAAGAAGAGCTACTTGAATCCCTGTTCAGTCTCACAACTGTGCGCAACGCAGCCCCTTTCTCCATCTCTCCAGATTCTACCAACAACTCCCAACTTTTTCTGGGGCCCAGGAAGAATCTGAGTATTGTGGGGTACCGGCCAAGCATCTCCCGGGCCCTGCTGGCCACCCCTGAACGATCGGCGGGTCGCAGCGCTGGGCAGCCAGAGTGGAGGGTGCGAGAGGGGGAGGCTGGGAACTTCCGAGGACACCCCAACAATCTCCGGGCGCCGCGGTCTCCCCTCCGGAGACTCGCATCTGGGAGGGAAGGGCGCTGCATCGGCTGGGGCGCTCCCTCTGGAGGCACCGAACGCCTCGGTCCCTCCACAAACAGCGCAGGGCTCACCCGGGTGAGCCTGGCGGGGGCACGGGGCTGAATAAGGGGCCAAGGGAGGAGCGGCGGGGCCGGCCGGGGTCGGCGCGCGGGCGGGGAAGATGGGTCCGGCCGAAGGGAGCGGGCAAGAGAACCCCAGCAAGAGCGAGAGAAATGCCGGCATGGGGGTCGGGCTTCGACCAGGGGCAGCCCTCGGCCTGGCCGCGCTTACCCGGCTCCGCGGGGCCCCGAGCACCATCGCCGCCGCCGCCTTACACAAAGGCCCCGGCCCGCCGCGCCCGGCCCGACGAGGAGGCGGCGCCGCCGGCCGCGGCCAGACTCTCCATCCGCCGCGCGGCTCGCCCGCCCGCCCGGGCGCCCCCGCCGCCCGGCCCGCAGCGCCCCCCGCCGTCCCGGAGGAGGCAGCGCCCCCCGCCGCCCGACCGCAGCGCCCCCCGCCGCCCGGGAGGAGGCAGCGCCCCCCGACGGCGGGGCCGGGGCCGGGCCCCTACTCGCGCGAGGGGTGCAGGGGCTTCCAAGTCCTCAGGCCTGGCTTTTTCTAAGCGCTGATCCACTGTGTGGGGGACTTCGTGCCTGAAGAGTGAGAAACCCTATCCAAACTCTCTTCGCCTCCCCTATTCTTCGCTCACAGTTCCAAAAGCTTCTCTTCAGAACATCTACTATGGGCATTTTACAAAAAGTTGTAAGATTGTTTGATCACTATATATCTCCTCCACTAGGCTGTGGGCTTCCTGGATCAGGGATCTGTGGCTTTGCACACTGCGGCACGTCCACACTGACTGCTACCACACTTCTTGGCACAATAAGTGCTTAATACATTAAGCCTGCTTGAATGAATGAAGGAGCACTTGAGGGCTAGACTGCTACTACTGGACCCTTCTGGTAATCCTCTGCTGTCCCTTCTTCCACCCAGGTGGCCAAATGAAGAAAGTCACAGGATCTCACTGTACGTTGGCACCCCAGGCCTGTTTCCTGAAGCCTGCCCTCCCCAACTCTGTGTAGAACTCGATCACTCTTCCTCCCAAATCATCTTCTCAAATGCTGCTGCCCAAGAATTGTCATCAAACCAAAACCACCTACACTGCCAGCCCCACCCACCACCACCAAAGACATTAGAAGTATTGGTCATGTCACCCTCCCTCCCTCGGTACAGAGGAAGCTCTTAGGCTCCAGGATCCTTCAGTTTCATCCTCTCTCCCATCCCATCCCAGTCACTGCCTGAGAATAGCTTGCAGCCAAGGACAAACTCCCAGGACAGGTGCATGGTAGGGTTCAGTAATTCCTTGATGGATAAATGGAAAGGAAGGGACACACTGAATGTCGCCAACAGATCTAAGCCAGTTTGGCCATTCAGCAATTGTCCGTTCTCTTGATGAATTTGGGAGATTGTGTGTCCTTCTTTCCACAACCTCACTAACTGGTGGTAGATTATACTGAAAGCAAGCACTATACCAAATGCTGCCAAACATGTAACATTTGTTAGCCAGGAGACACAAAAACAGCCATACAACTGTTCTTATAGTTTGGGGATGAGGCATCTCACTTTACCATCTAGTGAAAGGGTCACTTAGAGGCTGACACAATGTTTCAGTGGCAGGCCCAGCTCTCACGGTTGTGCAAGGGAACGGAGTCTCCCTAAAGTGGAATATCACACAGCCAGCAGGTCCAGACCTCCAGCATGACTCTGGAGACAGAGGGCTGCTGGGCTTGCAAGGGCCTGGGCCTGTTCAGTCTTTCTAACCAACTGCCCCAGCCATCTCTGGAGGGTTGACCCCAATAAACTTCACATGAAAACAAAGCATCCAAAAGACGCAGGTGAAAGTATATACCACTTATACTGAAGTCTTTTTAAAGTAAATCACCATATAGTCACAATAAGAAACATATACAAAGTTAAATGGAGAAGAAAGGGCCAGGAATTTAGTCAAGGTCTTGTGGACCAGATCTCTTTAGGCATCAACCATTTTACAACAGGAAAGGGAAGATCAGGATCCCTTCACACATTCTTCAAGTACAAACACAGGAATCTAACTTAACATTTGTCTTCATTTTTTCCAGGAGTCCCCAGTACTGCAATTTTTGTCAGTCCCACTAGAGAGCAATCTTTCTGCACTTACGTTCCTACTTGCAAAGCAATTTTCTCATCTCAGCCTATATGCCTAACTCCCACTAAGTCTGAGCAGAACCAACTCTTATAGCTTTCATGACCCAAAGAAAGTCCCTAGACTCTGCTTAAGTGTCCCCCGTTTTAAGCCCTATAGATAGATAATTTTGAAAAGTCAAAGAGATAACTCACTGGAAAAAGGGTCTAGGCTCTGGGGTGGGAGCATTCTTTGACCTCTGGCTATAAAGCTGACATAAGTAATACTAAGGTGAGTGTTCCCTCCTTTCACCACCACCCCCTATACAGCTGTCATTCCAAAGTGGCCCCAAGTCAGGCTGTAGGAAGACAGAACTTTCACTAGAATGAAAGGGCTGCAGGAAGTGGCCTCTGGCTCTGTGGCCCTGTCCCTACACTGCCTTGGGAAATCTATGTGTCGATGTTTTATCAGTGCAATTCAGGGGTATAACCAAGGCCCCTGTACCAGGCTAAGATAAGGAGCCTGAGGATTTCACTGGCTGTTCCATTAGGGCACAGAACCCCCCTTGGGATGACGGGCTGTGATAGTTGACATCTCAGATTAAGAAAAGACACCCATACCCATGCATATACCACATGTAAGTGCCTTACACATTCTGGGGACTGTTAAGTCAGAGCTGCAGGGGCTGGTAACAGGCATATTAGAGAGGAGTCAGAGGAAATAATGTTTTCCCTTTATAATAACTAAGGCAGCCAGTTAACAGTGAAGATATCTGCTCCTGTCTTTCTTGGCCTCAGTAGTAACTTCCCTGTCCACACCCTGTCCTAGCTGGATCAAGTTCTGTTTGCTTGTCCACAGCCCTGCTAAAGTGTAAACTCTCTGTATGAGTCATCATTTCATCCCCAGGATCTGTCACAGAACCCAGGCTCAGCATTTGGAGACAGAAAAATTGTATAGTGTTATAGATTCATCCTCCTCTGTGGCTGGGTCTCTGCACAGCCTTGGGCCTCACCTCCTTCTCTAATTAAGTAGGGTCAGATTCAGGAATGGATGTCTCCCAGGCCCATCCTAGTAATACAAGTCATTCTGAATATATTTTTTCTTTTTCTTTTTCCTTTTTTGTTTTTTGTTTGTTTGTTTGAGACAGAGTTTTCTGCTCTTGTTGCCCAGGCTGGAGTGCAGTGGCATGATCTCGGCTCACTGCAACCTCTGCCTCCCGGGTTCAAGCGATTCTCCTGCCTCAGCCTCCCAAGTAGCTGGAATTACAGGCATGCACCACCACGCCCGGCTAATTTTTGTATCTTTAGTAGAGATGGGGTTTCACCATGTTGGTCAGGCTGGTCTCGAACTCCTGACCTCGTGATCCACCCACCTCAGCCTCCCAAAGTGCTGGGATTACAAGCGTGAGCCACCAGGTCCAGCCTGTTTTTTCTTTATCTAAAACTGGTCTGTGAAAATATTTATGTGTTAGAAACCATCTTCCAAATTCATGTGTTTATTTTAATTACTAAATAAATCCGATACTCATTGTGCAAAGCACTGTGTAAGGCACTGTTCACGAAATAGATATATACAAAAAGATATGTAAAGTTATTTACATTTAAATATGAAGTGTGTGTATCATAAGTATGTGTGTATTTACCACGTAGCTGGAAGAGTCAAGGAACAGAAAAACCCACTAACCAAATGAGTAAACACACACATCACATCATCCATATGAAAAAATCCTTTATTGTTGAGGAGTAGAGAGAGACATTATATTTTTAATGTAGGACACTACAGGAACTGTAGGGGATTCTATAGTCAATGCCCATTGGGATTGGGGATATTCGCTATGCAGTTTCCACACCAGGGTCAGGTAGAAAAGATGGAGAAGGAGTCAAAGCACAAGAATGTTACAAGAACAGGGAAGAGAAAGGGTAACAGGAGTGTGTGCACCTGGGGATTGGGACAGGGAAACAGGTCTTCCTAATGCAGTCCAGGAGTCCGGAAGTGGAGTGCTGAGGACAAAAAACAAACAAACAAACAAAAAACACTGAAATCACATCTTATGTCCTGCAAAAAAAAAAAAAAAACTCCCACTAAAACCTGCTGGGGCAGCAGGAGAGAAGGGGAGGGGCGTTTGTGCGAGAGGAAAGAACAAGAGTCTTGACCCTCAGCCTGCCCTGCAGGCTTTGGGCCTGAGGATGGAACTCTCCTAGCATCAGGTACTTGCACCTTCCCAGCTGCCATATTTACATTACTCTACACACCTGTGTGCATGGCCAGTGGGGCCCATGCGGACCAAAGAAGTAGGAACTAAGTTCATGACATCCTGGCACCCCCATGAGCCAGACATACACACAGCCCTGTCCAAGGTGCCCTACTAGGAATGCTCCCCTTGCCTTATCCAGTTCCTCCTCTTCCCAGAAACCTCCTAGAGAAAGGACAGGCCCAGGGATTACTTCCTTTTTCTTTTTTTTTGAGACGGAGTCTTGCTCTGTTCCCCAGGCTGGAGTGCAGTGGCCGCGCGATCTCGGCTCACTGCAAGCTCCGCCTCCCAGGATCATGCCATTCTCCTGCCTCAGCCTCCTGAGTAGCTGGGACTACAGGCGCCCGCCACCGCGCCCGGCTAATTTTTTTGGTATTTTTAGTAGCGATGAGGTTTCACCGTGGTCTCGATCTCCTGACCTTGTGATCCGCCCGCCTCGGCCTCCCAAAGTGCTGGGATTACAGGCGTGAGCCACCGCGCCCGGCCTACTTCCTTTTTCAACAGTTTCACATGAATGAAATCAGATGACACAATGATCTTTGCTGATCCATCTCATGTAATCTTTAAATGCCGGCTCCCAGAAACCTTATGTCCTATTCTGCCTGACACCTAACAGGTTGGGAATGCTCCCTCAGTGGTAAGATTATGAAGGCTGCAATTATAGGACCCTCTGAAAGAGCCTGGATGCACAAACAAGCATTAAAAGTAGATTTCCACAATACACTTGTTTTTGCCATTTGTATAAAATGCTATAGCAAAATTGCACTGTAATTATCTTTATGGCCAGTGCATAACGCTGGAGGAGAGTATGTCATCCAGATATAGCTGCTTGTATAATTATCTGGCCGTCGGCAGGACTGAAATAACCATCTAATGAGAGCAAAATGATACAGTAACTACCATGTAATCAGCGAGTTACAGTTATTATAGCTCTTTGTGCCCTCTCACCCAACACTAAATGGGGGGCCAGACCCAGTCTCTGGTCCCAGGAATTCATGCACAGGCAGCATCATCAAGCACCAGTTCCTTGGGTCTTGGGCATGCCACCTTGAGACCAATGAGTATGGGTAACAGGGACACAGGAAGAAAGGCAGGAGGCTATTCATGATTAAGAGCCTTCCCAATCCCTCTCCCTCTCGTTTTCACTCCCCCCGCCCCACTTCTTTGGAAGTTAGTGAAAAGAAAGCCATTGGCAGAGCTGCTATTGCTATGTGTGGTAAGACAGTGTCAAGGCGGAAGGTCCGTGTTTTGACTAGACACTTCCCTGGGGGACTCTCACACTCGCATACCAAGTGAGGAATCTGTCAGCCCACTCAGGCCTGGGGTCCAGACAGAGCTAGTCAGGGGAAACATTAGGACATCCCCCACACCCCCCAGACTGGGACAATTATTATAAAATTGGCACACAGCACTATGCACCCGGCACTGTTCTGAACACTTTATCTATACTCAATCCTCAAAACCACAACCCTGCGAGATACTATTATCACTTTTATTTTTCAGATGAGGAAACTGAGGCACAGGAGGGTATGTAACTTTGCCAAAAAGATACAGATAGAGTGGCAGATCCAGGATTCACATTGAGGCCATGTTCCTATTCATTACGCTAAAGAGAGAGATTCAGATATGGTTTCCTGCTACTCCGATTAGATTTCAGAGCTCCTTGTATTTCTTCCTGAATCATCCTTGTGTATGACTACCCTCTGGACCCAGTAACCCAGGATTCTGAGTGATCCAAAAGGCTCAGCCTGCCTGGGAGGCAAATGCTTGCCTGTGAATTGGTTGTGGTATTTGTAATTATCAGATAATAATCTCTCCATCTTTTTGCATAGATCACAAAAGAATGAAGTCCAAACAATAGAAGTTACCCATCAGAGAAGCCCCTCTCTCCTCATCTCCCAACACTCACTCCTGCTCAATAGTCAGTTGAGGTCCATGATCCAGAGGAAAAAGATGAAAGACGGGAGGATGTGTACACACACACACACACACACACACACACACATATACACATGCCTCTAAGTGTCTTTGTGTTTGACCGACAGTGTGCTGGGCACTGGCAGTGTATTTCAGGGCAAATCTATGAGCTTTAATACCTGTAGCATGTGAGGAAATGCACAGCTGGCAACCCCCACAGCCCCCTCCCCAGTCCCCTCTCCCCTCTCTAATGAACAATCCTTACTTCATTCTGCTCTCGGGGGATACTTGAGGGTGCCAAAGCTGGGGACGTTCTCTTGATTCACATCAGTAGGAGAGTCTAGGGTAAAGCGAACAGTGTAAGTAACAGGGATCTTTCTGAATGTGAACTACACCCTGATCCAACAGCAAAGGGCTGGCTATGAAGGGCAGCGTTCAAAGACAGAGTTGGGAGACTGGGGAGAAGCAGAGTCTCCCTGTCCTTCCTCCCAACTACAGCAGGTCTACCTTATAAAGGTCTCCGCTCCTCTGTTCCCAGGGAAGGCTTGCCTGTGGATCCAAGCTGATTGGGATGAAGGGGCTGCGGAACCCTCACTGAAGGTAAGAAAGGTCCTGTCTTTCCCTCTGGTGAATAATATGGGGCACGTGACTTCTATCACACTCTGCCAGTACCCTAACCCTTCCACTGTACCCCCACACACTCCTACCTGGCTTGACGCTCCTCTTGCCCATCAGTCCCACAAAGAAGTCATGCATGTCACCTGCAGAAAAGGGCCAACATTGTCAGCAGTGATTATGAGAAAGTGATGCATCTTCCCAGACATGGGTCAATACTTCTGAGACTGGGTTTCTGGTCTCTGTTCCTTTTTCTTGTCAAAGCATGACTCCTCATAGTTAGCACGTGTCTCCCCTAAACCCACTCTCTCTGCCCACCTTTCCTTCCTCCACATTTCAAGAATTTTCTGCTCTAGCAGGTGCCTGACTTGGAATCTTCAGGGCCACCAAGAGATCCTCTTGTTTTCCAATGACCAACCAGCAGAGGGAGAGTCCACTATGCCCCTCACACCAGCTTCCTCCTAGTTCTGGATGGCCTCTCCCTTTCAGGAAAGGTTGGCTGAGCAGTGGGAGCTGGCATATTGTTTGTACCAGGTGAGAAGGGGCTGGACAAAATGGCCCCTGGGCCCAATGCCCCACAGAGCTCTGGGAAAGTGGCAAGAGATAGGGAGGGAGAAGAGGCTACTCACGTTTTTCGGGAGATGTTGATTCCTTAGGATCTGTGAAACCAAGAACAAATGTCTAAATGGGGAGTGAAGTTGGACAGTGATGAGAGGGGGTTCAGATCACAACCCTCACCGATTCACTAAGCTCTCCCCCATCTCCCTCCCATCTGAAAGGATCTCCCAGGCCTCTCATCTTCAGAATCCTGCCCCTCACTCCCCTCTCTCCTAGGGCTGCCTCCTACCTGTGCTAGCCTGGCTCATGGCTTTGAGCAATCCCTCCAGAGATGAGTGGCTTTTGAAGAGTCTCTGGAGTAGCTGGTAGAGATCCAGATCCCTCTAGGGAAGAAACAAAGAGGGCTGAGGCAGGAGGCTCCCACCCGGATCCACTCATCCTTTTCCCACAAGAAACAGCCTCTTCCTGAGCCCATCCTGAATCCGATACCCGATTTCTTTCAGAATTTCCTCTGGTTCACACTGGACGAGAAGTAGGTGCTCCAGGAGCGACCTGTGGACCAGCACTATGCAGAGCCTGTTAGAAATGCAGACTTTTGGTCCTACCCCAGACCTCCTGAGACAGAATCTGCATTTTAAGCAGCCCCCTAGGTGATTCACAGGCATGGTAAGGTTAGAGGCGCACATCTGCCCCTGATTCCCCCACTCTGCACGATGTCCACGGATGTTTCTCTCCCTGTTTTCCACCGCCTCTTTCTCTATTCTCCATGGCTTTCTGCCTCTAGTTTTCTCTCCCTCTCCCTTTTCGGCCCTAGGTCTAGAATTTCAGGAAGGCAACATGCTCAGAAGGCATGTCTTCTCTCCACAACTGAACCCCAAGTTCTAGAGCTGCTGCCCAGCACGGGCTCTTGATTGTCCCTGTGATTTTTTTTTTTTTTTTTAGCAACTTGGGCACAGCAGGGTGGTGGGCACACACCACACAGCCAGTTAATTGCAACTGCAGAGAAACAATAACAATGATCATGGCTGGAGATTTTCACCTCAAATCTCAAGTCTTGGCAGTGCCTCTCTTTCCAGAAGCCATGCATCCTTGGGCTGTTGTGCACACACAGAAGTGCATTTACACAGAACGCACCCCCACACATACCAACGCAGTTGCCTAGGCACACCTATATACTATCCTCTTCCTGCCCCAATTTCTCTCATCCTTACAGACTCTCAGGGAGAAGGGGTAGGATGGCAATCCCTCTCATTCATTGACCAAGAGGGGCAGAGGGGACATCTCATTGGCCAAAGTCCTGAAACAAGTTTGTCTCAGAAAAACCCAGATATTCTAACTATCCTGGGCTGGAACTTTGTGGCTCCAAACGGTGTCCAGCCCATACTTGGCACTCCCTGGGCCTGGGTGTTTTTTTTTTTTTTAATGGTTCTGGCCTTTTGGATATGGCACAACCACTGCCACCTGCAAGGCTACCCTGGCAATATCTCCCTTGGCCCAGCATGTGGCGTTCAGGCAGCCACTTTTCCCAAATTGTTGAATACTCTGCCCACCTCCTGTAATGAGATGCTAAACAGATTTGAGCTGAAGAGGCAGTTAAACTTCATGCATTGAATTTGTAATAAGTCCCACCCGTAATCATCTTAAAAGCATTTGTATCGATGTAATTGCTGTCATTTCAAAACCTTGAAAAGACTCCCTCCCTATTCTCCCCCTGTATCCCTACCCTGACAATTCCTATTCTTTTTCGTAGAGGAACTGTGGAAATCGAGGTTCAACCTGGTTTTTTTGCTGTTGTTGTTTTCCTATCCTGACTAAGCAGAGGATAGAGGCAGGCAAGGGAGAAAAGAGAAGGAAGGGGTTGGGATCTTAGAAGCACCTGAGGTTACTGGGAGTGGATGAGCAAAAGATAAGGGAATTTATTTGCATTTTGAAAATAAAACAATATACATAACTGATAGGTAAAATAGCACACAAATGACCATTTGGGAAAGAAATTCTGACTGTTTCATACCATCCAGGGAGTAGAAGGGATATGTCCCTTGCAAAGGGGTCTGAGGTAGACCATAGAGAGCCTTAGACCACCCTAGCTCACCCCTCACAGTACCATCCAATCACCAAGTCTCCCATCAATCAACCTACCAAACAACATATTTGTAGGGCACCTTTTATGTACAAGGTGTCAAAGACATGCAGAGATACAGAGACACAAACACAGCTGGAGATAGTGGGAACATGAGAGGACCAGAGAAACAAAGAAATCGAAAGGGAGGAAAAATGCTCTCTGATGGACAACCCACCCACCCCAGCTTCCTCACTACAGCTGTCCAGACAGGCAGAGTCCCAGGTTCCCGTGATGTCCCCAGAACTCTGCCCGGTGAGATTTACCTTGCTGTGGCCCCCACCAGGAACCATCTCCTCCTGTGGCTCCTTACAGACAGCCCCAAAGCTCTGAGCTAGGCTGAAGGTCAGGATGGCTGTGAATAGCAGCATGATCCTCATGGTGCCTGGAGAGCAAAGGGACAGGACTCAGGTAAGGGAGAGAAGAGGAAGATACAGAGTGGGTGAAGGCACAAGAGACATTCATTACCAGCAGCTTGGCTTGACCCTGCTTCCCCAGCCCCCAACTCCACTGTCCAAGCCCTGGTCTGGAGAGAGGGTGGAAAGTATTTCTGAGAAGGGGGTAGAGCCCTTGGGCTTAGTTTCCCTGCTCCCCCACCAGACATCTCCCCCGGAGATGTGCAGTGCTATAGTGGTGCCGGGGGACTCTAGCTCCCAAGGGAGATGGTAGATTTATAGGACATGGACTGGTCTGTTTCCTTAGTGAGCTGGAGGAGGGATCCTGGATGCTATTTTCCAGTACTAGATAATCCCAAGACTTAGGCAAAAACTTTCTGGTATGAAAGAATGAGTCTATAGCCACAGCCTCCAAACACTAACCAGCTCTCGGCCCTACAGGTGCTTTCTGCTCACCTTCCCAGTCCCCTGCTCCCCTATCAGAGGCTGCCATCTGCTTTATTCCCTCCTGACGCTGGCTCCTGTCCCCTGGTGCCAGCTCCAGTCCATCCATCATTCTCCCGACCGCCTACCTGTGGAGCAGCTCTGTGCCAGGGGCTGGGTGGTCTGGCAGGATCAGGGAACTGGCTGGGAGCGCTGCCTGCTACCCTCACACACTGGTGCTGCCGGTGCTGCTGCAAAGAGAGAAACCGAGTGGAGGGGATCTAGGAAGGCTGCAGTCACTCAGTCCCAGCTCCCTGATAAAGGCTCTGGGTGGGTCTAGGGGAGCTGAGGGGAGGGGCTGAGAGTCACCAATCCCAGGGTGGCTGGAGGGGAGGCGGGGAGGCTGCCGGGGGGAGGAGGATGCAGAAGCAGCCACACACACAACACACACATACCCCACAGACCCAGCAATAAGCCCATTTCCTAACAGCACCCGAGCTGGCTGCTGTGTATGGTTTGTGTATGGTTTGATACTGCACAATACCCCAAAATAAAGGCCTCAACAGCAGCCTCAGAAGCAGAAGTTTTTATCTGACCCCCTTCTGTCCTCTTGTCACTCAGTTACATTCTCCCCCAAGACCAGCTATAAAAACCAGAACCCCTTTTCCCCACAGCCAGCCATAAAACCTAAAATTACTCTATGTAAAAACTGGCCAAAAAAATTATCTGACCAGCCGAGAGTGGTGGCTCACGCCTGTAATCTCAGTACTTTGGGAGGCCAAGGCGGGCAGATCACGAAGTCAAGAGATCAAGACCATCCTGGCCAACATGGTGAAATGCTGTCTCTACTAAAAATACAAAAATTAGCTGGGCACGGTGGTGCATGCCTGTAGTTCCAGCTACTCAGGAGGCTGAGCCAAGATTGCACCACTGCACTCCAGCCTGGTGACAGAGCAAGACTCCATCTAAAAAAAAAAAAAAAACCTCAGAAAAGATGACACTCACCCCTTTTTTGGGGTCTCCTACTTTCGTTGTGGAGTTTCAAGAGTCATGGGCAGATTCTTCTCAGGTCTAAAACTCTGCTCTCTTCTACACTACATTACCTAATCTCTTTGGTTTTTGAGGATGCCAAAAATAAATAACTTTGCATTATTTAAAAAACCAGGCCGGGCGCGGTGGCTCAAGCCTGTAATCCCAGCACTTTGGGAGGCCGAGATGGGCGGATCAGGAGGTCAGGAGATCGAGACCATCCTGGCTAACACGGTGAAACCCTGTCTCTACTAAATATATATATATATATACAAAAAACTAGCCGGGCGAGGTGGCGGGCCCTATAGTCCCAGCTACTTGGGAGGCTGAGGCAGGAGAATGGCGTAAACCCGGGAGGTGGAGCTTGCAGTGAGCTGAGATCCGGCCACTGCACTCCAGCCTGGGCGACGGAATGAGACTCCGTCTCAAAAAAAAAAAAAAAAAAACTAGACGTATAGCTAGTCATATATAATAACTAGATAAAAAATACAGTTTTAGAGATGACTTATGACAGTTATTCACAACAAATTATTACTACTATACACGGCTACTTATTTCTTTGTGCGTTTAAATTTTTAAACACATGGTTTGGGGCACCTAAGGACAATGAAAGCACTCACCATTGAGGATGAAACTCCCATTAAAAATAGGCTAAGCATGCAGGGCGTGGTGGCTCACGCCTGTAATCCCAGCACTTTGGGAGGCCGAGGTGGGCGGATCACTTGGGGTCAGAAGTTCGAGACCAGCCTGGCCAACATGTTGAAACCCCATCTCTACTAAAAATACAAAAAATTAGCTGAGTGTGGTGGTGGGTGCCTGTAATCCCAGCTACTCAGGAGGCTGAGGCAGGAGAATCGCTTGAATCTGGGAGGCAGCAAGCCGAGATCACGCCATTGCACTCCAGCCTGGGCAACAGAGCAAGACTCCACCTCAAAAAAAAATAAAAATAAAAATAAGCTAAGCACAGAGTGGGCTAATCGACACTGGGCTGCCTGCCAGCCTTGGGGGAGCATCTTTACAGTGGGGCACTCAATAAAAATGCCACACATCTTGTCCCATGACATTTCCCTCTTTGGGGGGGCCTAGGATTCAATATAAAAATGGGATCCTTGATGGGTGAGGATCTGTATTCTGCCTTCCAGCTATGCCTGCTTTACACATTTAAATATAAGGCCCTAAAAACTATGTTTTCTTCCCCCTGTTTATTAAAGGGTTCCACCCTAAAGTCAATAATCTAATTAAAAAACAAGCTAGTTAAAAAGCCCAAAATACAACTTTCTAAAAAAAAAAAAAAAGTGGCTCACGCCTGTAATCCCAGCACTTTGGGAGGCTGAGGTAGGTGGATCACAAGGTCAGAAGTTTGAGACCAGCCTGACCAACATGGTAAAACCCCGTCTCTACTAAAAATACAAAAATTAGTTGGGCGTGGTGGCACACACCTATAATCCCAGCTAGTCAGGAGGCTGAGGCAGGAGAATGGCTTGAACCCAGGAGGCGCAGGTTGCAGCGAGCCGAGATCACACCACTGCACTCCAGCCTATTGGCAGAGATAGACTCCGTCTCAAAAAAAAAATTACCTGACCTACGTTATTTGACTTAGGTCATAAGACCTCCATTCCAGAATTCCAGAGAGGGTCCTGCCCCACACCCAGAAGGAAGGAATGAGAGAGGCCAGGAGGAATCTCAACAGACAGGCCTTGCTGGGTTTCCCCACTCAATCTGTTAACATTAGATCATGCCCTTTCTGTCCCATCATATTTCTACACAGTTGTCCGTACTTGGTTAAACCTAAACATAAAAATAGACAATTTCCCCTATAGCTGCAAGGCTTCATTCTAAAGGCTCCCATTCATATTAAATAAATTTGTCTTTTTCCCTATTAATCTGCTTCATGTCAGTGATTTTCACTGAAACTTTAGGGGGCCAAGACCACAGTTTGGCATCACAAATAAGACCACCAAAGCTACTGTGCTTTTCTGGAAGCCGCAGAGAAGGAAATACAGGAACCTGACAAGCCAGCAGAAGAGTAAGAATTTCCTGCCAGACTCCCAGTTTTCCAGTTTTCCTCTCTCTCTCTGTGGACTCTGGATGAGTGGACAGTAAAAATCATTGTTTTCCTTTTCCTTTCCAAATGTAAGATTAATGAGAGAACAGGTTTTGTGTGTGACTAACCTTGGTATAGTGAGTCTGATATATTTTTTAGTACTTTGTGGTATGAGTATTCATATTGTTTGACCCCGTTCCTTTCTTATTTAATTTATTTTATTTTTTTCGAGACGGAGTTTCGCTCTGTCGCCCAGGCTGGAGTGCAGTGGCCGGATCTCAGCTCACTGCAAGCTCCGCCTCCCGGGTTCACACCATTCTCCGGCCTCAGCCTCCCGAGTAGCTGGGACTACAGGCGCCCGCCACCTCGCCCGGCTAGTTTTTTGTATTTTTTAGTAAAGACGGGGTTTCACCGGGTTAGCCAGGATGGTCTCGATCTCCTGACCTTGTGATCCGCCCATCTCAGCCTCCCAAAGTGCTGGGATTACAGGCGTGAGCCACCGCACCCGGCTTGACCCCGTTCCTTTCAGAAATAGCTTTTTTGTTGTTGTTGCTGCCATTTTCCTTTGTTTTTGTCTTTGTCTTTTGGTGTTCTGTCATAAGGAGGGGTACCCTAGGCTAGAAGAGGCCTGCAACCCACTGTTTGAGCAGGCCCCGCAAACCAGTCAGTTTCGTGGTTCTAGTTAGACTGATTTCTGTTACGACAAACTTTGCTGCCAGTCCCTGAAATAAAAACAGGGTGAGAGGTTTCCCTCTTGTCTTATGTCCTTGAGAGCATGACGTGACTAGATGGGGATATTCCCGCTTGGTCTCCACCATCCAAAGGATGTGATTTTTCGGGTAACATCACAGCCAGTATGAAAAGATTGGGAGCCCAAGACATGTCTTTTCAAACATTCCAAGCTCCTAGAGGACTTTTGTCTCACAAGGTCTCATCCCTCCTGGGCTTCTGTCTTCTTTGACATAAAGAAACCTTTGGATTAAGTCGCTATTGGAATTAAATGCCCCATTAAAAAATCTAATTGTCAATGGTCAAAAGATAAATCCTTTAGACTAAAATTCCTAAATTAAAAAAAAAATCACTTGTTCTAAAGAATTGATAGAAAGACCAAATTAAAAGGACACATAATAGTGTCATAGCTATCCTTAAAACTTGTCTTGATTAAAGCATGAAAACCTGACCTAAAACAATTACACTCAAACTGCCATTTTGGATTCCATACAAAATTAACAATGGAGGCTGCTCCATTTTACAGTTTAATAATTAAAATTCCCGCCGTGGCTTAGGGTTTCCTTCCTAATCAGAAATCAGTCCTTTTCAGCTTAAAATTTATGTGATTTTTAAAATATCAGCATTTGTCCCAACTAAAATCTGGTAACAAGAGATTTAAGGCAAAGCACAGTGGCTCACACTTGTAATCCTACCACTTTAGGAGGCCGAGGCGGGCAAATCGCTTTAGCCCAGAAGTTCCCTGGGCTTGAGACTAGCCTGGGTAACAGGGCGAAACCCTGTGTCTACAAAAAGTTTTAAAGGGGGAGAGAGAGAGAGAAATTTAAAAGAATTTTTGTTAAAGAGCTCCATGGTTAGAAGTCAGCTTAATTAAAAGCTAATATTCAAGCTATGTGTATATTTTTACAGCCTTCCTGTGTTTTCTCTTTAAATCCTATTTAAACAAATTTTGTTCAGTCGACTAAAATCTTTTTTTAAAAATGTGCTTGATGTCTCTATTCACTTCCTTTCTTAAAATCTATTCTCCCGTTCACTTTTACTCCACCCTATTCCTCCTTCCTCTTTGCCATCTCCAATACCACATTTAAAAAAAATCTAGAAAAGACTTCTAATGACTCAGACTCCTTAAAAAACTCAGAGAAGACCGGGCGTAGTGGCTCATGCCTGTAATCCCAGCACTTTGGGAGGCCGAGGCAAGTGGATCACCTGAGATTGGGAGTTCGAGATGAGCCTGGCTAGCATGGTAAGACCTGGTCTCTACTAAAAATACAAAAATTAGCCGGATGTGGTGGTGCACAGCTGTAATCCCCACTACTCAGGAGGTTAAGGCAGAAGAATCGCTTGAACCCGGGAGGCGAGGGTTGCAGTGAGTGGAGATCGTGCCACTGCACTCCAGCCTGGGCAACAGAGCGAGACTCCGTCGCAAAACAAAACAAAACAACAACAACAACAAAAGATGCCATTTGTAAGGACATCTCCCTCTCTCACCCAAACCTCCAAAACCTTTTAGAATAGAAAAGA